GCTCTTGCTGAAGGTAGGCTCCATTCCCCCCAGAGAGAAGTCAAAGGTATCCCCTTCTCATGACTTCTTGTTTCTGGGTTACCGTTTTGATACGGTTCTGGGCATTGTCCTCTAACCAGAGGGTGAGACTTGGCTCTAGCCTTCTAATGAACATGTCACAGGTTCAGGTGCATTGGTTCCTCAAGTTTCTGGGGTATCTTAACTCCCTGGCAAATGTGGTTCCTTAGGGGCGTCTTCACATCAGATCCTTGCAAATGTTTCTGCTCGGCAATTGGTCGATACGGAAGCAATGTTCCCCTTAAGTCAGTCAGTGAAGGACTTTGCAGCTTGGTGGACTCGTCGGGACAATGTTCTTACAGGGTTCCCCCTCCCTCTATGACCCTGTACATGGATGATTTTATGACAGGGTGGGGCACCTATCTGGCTGGCCATGTCTGGTCAGGGAACAGCTTGCAGAGCACATGAGAGATGAGAGCAGTCCTGCTGGCTCTGCAATCCCTTAGGGAGATGCTGAAGTCACAGGTCATTTGTCTGGCAACAGACAACTCCACAGTTGTCGCTTACCTTGAGAAGCAGGGGGGCACCAGATCTTATGTGCTGTGTGCCCTGGCGTAGTCAGCCATGGTTTCTAGAGTTACTGCCTCTGCTGGTGGACCAGCCTTTGTGGTTGCCATACAGTTTAGACCTTCGGTAGCCTCGTTCCAAAATGATGCACTCTCGGCCTCAGATCCTCCACCTTTTTGCATGCAGGCTATCAGGGGAGGCCTTGCTCAGGCAGGCTTTTCTGAGGACGTGTCAGAGAACATCACGAGATCAATCAGGTCTTCCTGTTCCGTTGATTGCGGATTTCCTCTTGTGAGATTGCATTCTTGTGCCAGGAACTACTGTAGGGTATCGTTCTGCTTTAGTCAGCGTCTTTACCTTTCGTGGCAGGCAAGAAGTCAGCATGTCTTCTTCCTTTTCTGCTTTGCTTAGGAGCTTTGGCTTGGCCAGACCTAGAGTTAGATAGTTAGCCTCACAATGGAATCTAGCGTTTGTTCTAGATTCCTTGACTAGAGCCCCTTATGAGCCTTTTGGGAATGCCTCTTTAAAGTTTCTCCCCTCCAAAACGGTCTTTCTCATTGTCTTGGCTTTTGGGCGAAGACGGAATGAAGTGTCTTCCTTCTTGTCTTTGTTTGTTTAGGAGGTATACTGCTGTCTCTATGGTCACTGATCTTGCTTTCTTGACCAAGAATCAGGTGCAAGGCTTTTCCCCTGATCCCATTTGGATTCATTGGGTTCTGTGGCAGGATTTTCTGACCGCGACAGTTCTCTTTGTGCTTGTCAGGCCCTGCAGTTTTATCTCGATTAAACCAGTGGAGGGATAGGGGCGAGGTTTCTGTTATCTGATGTTTCTGCCTATCAAGCAGGATATCACCACTCAGTACCTCTCTTGATGGATATGTGAGGTGATGCGCTTTACTTATGACCACTCTGATGAAGGGAGCCATGGACGGTTCAAGGTTAGGGTCCATGAGGTCAGGGCACTTGCTACGTCTTGGACTCTCCTCTCAAGCTCTTCCTTTCAGGAGGTCATGTCAGCTGCCTTCTGGCAAAGACAGACTACCTTCGCTGACTTCTACCTGAGATCATTGGCATCAGTCTCTAATGACCTTTTTTCTTTAGGTCACTTGGTTGTGGCACAGTCGATGGCTGTTCCCACTTCTGTAAGTTATTAGTATGCATTGCTTCCCATGTTGTCTGTCCATGGGCGTTTTTTTTTGTTTTACGACTCCCCCTTTGGGTATCATTCTGCCCTTCTCACTGCCATGTATTGGATTTGGCACTGGGATGTGAGTCTTCTCTATGGTAAGATGAATTTGTATACTAAAATTATGGTAATTATTACTGAAATGAAATTGAGTTATTCTTGTAAAACTAATTTTCATGATGCAATACTTACCATAACTTTATTGAGTCCTTACCTCCTTTTGGCTCCAAATTCTTGCTTCCCCTTTCCTCTCTATCCTGCGGTTTCATTAGTGGCATTAGTGATAAGAAGGTATTATTTCCAGTTGTGAGTAGGTATGTCGGCAGGTAGAGGGGCTCCCTACGGGGGGGGGTTAACGGGTTCTCTTTTTCTGTTTATATTATATACAAATGAACGGTAATTAGTGGGAGATATGCATACTACAGTTACCGTATTTCACCGCAAATAAGCCCCCTCTCGCAAATAAGCCCCCCCCCCACCACTTTTTCCAATTTGCCAAGAATAGGGGGGTATTCGCAATTAAGCCTCCTCTCTTTTTTTGGAAAAAAAAAAAAACACCTGCGACAATAAAGCAGTACTTACATTTAATTGTCAGGTGTAATTATTAAGGGTTTGTTTTTGTAGTGTTCACAGGTGACCACTTCTTTGTTATTTAAACTGGTGATAATTAGCCAACAATCACAGCGACTGAGCAAGAGGGCCTCGCTCAAAACACGCTAAAACAACACAGTGTCGCTTTGACGTGTTGAGAGCCATATCAGTGTCGTTAAATAGAGAGTAAAAATCCAACCAAGACACAAATCATCATGCCTGCTACACGAAGACGTTACACAGTAAAGGAGAAGTTGGACATCGTCAATTGGTTCCGGGACAATGGCCGAAATCTCCATCAGACAACACGAGAATTCTTCGTCGACAGGAAACTCGTCAGACAGTGGGACACAGATTTCGAGAAACTCCTTGGCCATGGAAAAGGAACAGACTCCAAGAAGAAGAAGCTTGGCACTAACTCAGCACCCAGGTCCATTAAGATTGGTGACGCCGTGTTTGACTGGTTCGTCAAGGAATGCGCTGAGGGTCGAGCTGTCTCCGGTTATCAACTGCAGTCCAAGGGGAGAGAAGTCGCAAGGGTGATGCGTGTGTGAAAACCAAACACGGATGATGTGCGTCGTATTCTGGGCAGGTGTGTGGCCTGTAACTGTCCAGGATGTCGCGCCGTCTTCGTGAAGATGTTGGCATGGACGTCTACGAGATCGATGAGGTCCTATAGCAGGAACTTGATGCGACACAGGCCCACGGCAACTTATTTGATTCTGACGAGTCCGATGACGAGACTCTCCTATTCGGAGGATTCGGCCCGGAGGATTAGCTATTTAGTAAATTTTGTTATATTGTTAATAAAATTATTGATCCTATTTTCGTCTTTGGGTTAATTTTGATGACAGATAGGCCAAGTTATCGTTCCTTATGATGAAAAATCCAAGATGGCGGACACACGTACATCTCGTGAACAGGGGGGTTGCCCGCATATAAGCCCCCTACCTTCTTTTGACAGTCTTTTTTTAACTGGATGTGGGGGCTTATTTGCGGTAAAATACGGTATGGTAAGTATTACATCATGAAAACTGGTTTTACAAGAAAAACCTCAATTTTTCTCAATGCTGGTTGTACAATTACTAAGTCTACCTATGAAGTAAGACATTTGTAAAATGTGATGACACAATAAATAATTAATTATTAATAAGTACAGGTATTATATTAAGTATTAATCAGGTAAGATGTTATCTTAAATTGATATCTACATGTATCTATATAGTAATTGATTAAAATGTATATAGGATGATATTTCAATAATTGATACAGATATACATCACCCACATCTGATGATAACCTGCTGATATGTGTATACCTGTCTTTATGTTGGCTGTGACTGACAGGTCATTCTAGCCAGTGTGACTTTACCTGGTGTACTCAGGGGAATAGTACAGGTAAATACAAGTAGGGTTGTGTGTGTCAGTACTTACCTATGTATTGTTGGATTGGAGCCATTCTTCTCACATTATGTTTGTCTTTTATAACTCAATTTTTTAACAATTAAACTCTCTGTCTCCAGACTATAAATAGAATTAATTAGATTCAGGAGGTATATATAGGTAGTGTTATATGATAAATTTGGGACATCCATCCTATAACACATTCTCAGGTCCCAGATGAGATGTATATGTCATGTTATATAATAGATTTGGGACTCCTATAACACATTATCATGTCCCAGATGAGATGTACATGCCATGTTATATGATAAATATGGGACTTCCTACAACACATTCTCATGTCCCAGATGAGATGTACAGGTAGTGTTATGTAATAGATTTGTGACAGTCTCTAGTTCCAGGAGAAATATATGACAAAATTGTAATGTATCAAGGAGTCTCGTGACATATTGTATATATTAATAGTTTATAATTGCTTCCACACATAAATGTGTATTAATTCTATCCTCGTAAGTTAAAGTATTAAAGACATTCTGGTACTTTATGATCAATTTAAAAATGTCGCTTGAGGATGTCCTTTTTACACATCTACTGTCCCCAAGGCACAAAATAACGTACTTCAGCCTGTAGCAACTTGTACAAAAATTGTTGGTAGATCATTTAGTTCTTATATGGATGATCTAGATACATGCTTCATACCTGAATTACAGGTTGTTTACCAGCAATATTATTACTTTGTAAACAAACAATACACCTGAGCTATCTGCTCTGTAGGTAAATATCAGCCATACTGATAATTTAAAATAACAGTACTTGTATCAGGTACTTAGGAGATCAAAAAGATTGGTTTTTACACCTATCCAGGAAAATTCTCTGAAACCAAATATATGTGTTATTTTTATCAGTACATAACTGTAAATACCTGAGGTGATATGTACCTGTTAATTGGTTCTGAGCAGGTACACAGCCTCAGCAGTTAAGATGGAGCTTAGTATCACAGTCATTATTTTCTGTAATGTACAGCAAGCCTATGTCTATTCCCACAGGTAAGGCCAGGATACTTGTTCCACTGTGCGCTCACAGCCAGCCATAGAGCAGAAAGCAGAGCTGACAGCCTGTCTCCCCTAAACCCACAGTGTAACAGGCCAGCCAGTCATAATGAAGAGTTAGCTAGTTGGTGGGGCTATAGATATACAGAAGCCCATTGGAAGTTGGTGTGGTCGGACAGTGAATGGAGCTAACCTAGTGTATACACAGCTACATGTGTATTTCCACCTCAGATGGATTTTAATACCAGGGATAAACCTATCATTAAGATGGAAACTCTGACGCTTCTTATTTATTCAATTTGAAAGGATTTTTTTTTCTACTGGGTTTTTATTGTGTGACAAAACAAATCTTTTTCATCGTATATTTTGATTGCTGGATGGATTGGTTAGCTGTAGATACACACTGATGCTGAAGGATTAACCATTTTGTTGTCAATATTTAACTCACCATTACTGGGGGATGAGTCGATGAATATACGTGGATGATCGTCGTCGTGAGAGACGATGTTGTTCAGACGAGTCAGTCACAGGATGGAGGTTGTCCATACACGTACTAAAACCAAACCATTGGAATTTGGTTGTTTGTCTAAATTTAATTTGTGGCATAATGCTATGTTTGTAACAATTCTGTGGATTTTGACGATGGACGTTTACCAGGAGGTGGAAGCCCTTGATTTAGGTAAGTGTTATGTGTTATTGGTACTGGGAGTTATTTTGTGTTATGTGTTATTGGTACTGGGAGGTATTTTGCGGGATGGCATCTACATCTTGTATATTGACTCTAAAACCAGCCCCTCTCTTGTGACCCATTCTTCTGCCACTACTCCCAGCAGTTTTAGTCTGTGTTGCTACTGTAAAACCACCCTCTCTGTTGTTTCTGTTTGTTCTGTTACAGATTAATATCAGACTTCTCTACATCATTTTTTTATTTCTTTGACTCCCTCCATCAGTGTTTAGGAAGCCTGGGAACATATCTGTTTCGGCATGTGGATCTGTTTATGTGGATGTAAAAGTGTTACAGAGCTCAAAACATAGTTTCTGATATACTATTCTACTTAATCGTAACTGGAATAAAACAGCGTAGCTCCTATCATGATCATCGTCCATGTGTGGATTGGTTCTTATAAGCTATAGATGAGATACTTAGAATGTAAGATTATTATATCACTTTAACATCAAAATATTTATAAAATGAATACCAATTAGAATGAATTATACAAATAAACACATTATGTTACAAAGTTAATGAGGGTATAATTTCAGGTGAAAGGTCATCAGCTTAGTTTCTGTTGACCAATATAAAACATCCCACAATTTAAATCTGTGTATTGTTTAATATTCCAATCATTGTTTTTAACTTCCACACCAAAGAATAAGGAAAAATATTTGTAAAATAAGTTTATTTTACATTTATATCTGTAGCTGTACTTTAACAAGTCAGGTATTACTACAATAATGATACAGTTCAAAGATGAAAAGGAGTTGTTCCTGTACAGAAGTATTCACCAGCACACACGTTACTCAAGGTTTACTGGGGGCTTTTGTATTCAAACCCCATAAATTACTCAAGTTTGTAACCAGATTCCTTATAGTTCTCCAGCTTACCTTTTTCTCAAAGCTTTCATTGTTTCTCTAGCTGACAAAAATAATCTTACATCTTGTAGTCATACAAATTGATATAACGCTACTTTATAAAAACAACAACTGGCAAACTCCTATTTTATTTTTATATTTATTTTATTCAATGCCGTTTGTAACAGTTTGTATTTTTAGTACATAATCAATGTTTAAACAGTCAAATGTGAATCTTATTTAAATTTTCAGAAAAATCAATATACACAAATTTTGGTGTGATTAGAAATAAACCTTCTGTATGCAAATTTATTGACTTTGAAATTTGTTATTCAACATTTGTTGAACAGATGGTATTTTTTACCAAAGAAAGATCTTACATTGAAACACACATCACGATATATGTTGACAGTTAATGTTTCCAGGTATTGGAACTTATAAATAAACGCTATTATGATGTAGTGATATCTTGGAATCAGGGACTTACAATATTTCCTCTTTACATGTTAGCTAGTCTCTGATGATATAACAATACTTTACTCTCGAATAAAATATAGAATAAAATATAGACAACTACACAAAATAAAAAAAATGTCCATAAAAATATCTCTGATACATATCTAAACAGGTTCAAGCATTTGTAAAGGATATAAAACTCCATCCTGAATGAGAATATATAATAAATGGTATTTTGGTCCCGTCTCTCAGAGACAGAGAATCTATATATACTGCTTGGATATGAAAATGGAGGCCAGTGGAATTATTGAATCTCCTGAATATATTATGATTATTTGGGTTGAAGTGTCAGTGATATTCTAAAGGAATATTTCCTGGGTGTGAACATCATATTCTCTCAAAAATTAAAAAAAAAAAACATTTTCCAGATCTAGAATTGCAACTTTTTCGTGCAAAACACAGCAGTCTGGAAATTGTCTAGCTAATCCATTAATAAATACTCAAGTTTTTGGTGTTCTATTTAAGGACTTATGTGAGCTTTATAACTTAATTGTAAGAAAGTCTTTAAAATATTAAATCCAAATTTTTAAAGTAACTTTGAGTTGTCTGTTAGGTGTTGCATGATGACTGACCAGTGGCGAGTTTCTGATTATCTGTAATGGTGATGATAGCTGATCTGTTTAGGTACACATGTTGTAAAGGTAGATGTGGACATCTGCCCTGGAGGAAGGTGGAACCTCACACCTGTATGTGTTAATATCTACATTATCTGGTCACTCAGATGGTCTAATCATCTTCTGTCAGATTCTTCCCCTCAAGTCAAAAGTCAACACCAAGTTCAGATGTATGATGGGGAGTTTTTATCCATTTTTTTTTTTTAAGGTTATTGAATCTATTATTTTTTAATCGTCATTTTTCTTTCCATACAAAATAAGGAAAATAAGATAATGGATTTACACATGTATGTAATACTCTGTACACTTATTTATAACAACTTACTTTAAAATAATTAGATCTAGTAAAGAAAGGGTATTTATGAAACTCTATCAGGATTTGATTAAAGAAATACTTGATATAGCATAACCATTAATACTAGCTTTCCTTCAAAGAACAATGTATTGTTTTAAGGTATAATTTTGCAACAATAATTGGTTAATTTTAACTGTTTTTACTGAGAAGTACATACATACAATGAAACTGAAGCGTGGAGTCTCTTTCTTACCATATAATTTATAGTATAGAGATAGACTTAAAATTCTGTAATAAATATTTGGATAAACATTTATAGATCTGTTTCTGTCACAGTTTGTCTCTATTATATATAGTGTATATTTAAAGCGTTTAGACTGTAAAGATGATCCAGGATTTGGAAACCCTTGATGTAAATCTTACATAGATCTCAAGTGTCCACTGTCCCCAGTCTGGTCAGAATGACCAGTCCCTGTCCTTACTTTAGTTATGTCAGAAGTAGACACTATGATCAGCGGTCAATCCTTGGGCAAACTAACCAGGGTGTTAAGACTGGGATTCCAGCCATTGTCCACTCACGCTCTGTTTGTCCATCCACTTTGGCCACTCAGTATTCTACATTGTAGTGAGTGGTCAGTCATAATTACTTTTATTGGGCTTAATCATGTTTATTGATCCATTAGAACTGACCAGGTGATTTCAAATTTCTTTCAATCCCCTTGCGTAAGTTTTCTCTGATAGTCACGGTCAGTGATAGGTGACCCCTCAAGGAAACCATAACCCATTAAATAATACCTAATTAGGAATGTGGAATCATCATTATTTCATTAATTCTTATCATTGAACGAAATTTAACATTGATGACATCTACTGGAGATATTTCTTGGTAAAATAACTGTAAATCACCTTTCTAAAATCTGTCTGTAGCCAGTGTATGATCATGATACAAGAGAAATAAGGAGGGATTCCTGGCGAAATAACAGACATTAAGTTTGTTAAACTTATACCAGGAAAGATTAATTCATTTTAATCTGTATATATCGAACAAATTAAACAAATTCTTTCTGTTAGAAGGATAGTTTGATGTATTTTACTTCTGTGACTATTTCATGCCCAGTCAATGTCAGAATATTCTGACATAAGAGCCTTTGGTTTTAAATTTTAGAAAAATTCAGCTGTTGAAGGTTATTTATTTCCTTGTATGGAAGAAGCAAACAGTTACCCTGAATATAGCAACATTGGATTTTCACTAGAAATCTCCTAACATCAGCTATTCACATCTATCGTAAGACATTCACCAGATATGGCTCTGTCTGCGCTTTCTTTCATGTGGTCCATCCTGTCCTAGCCAATTGTTAGTGCTGTACACTGGTATGATGTTGTCACTAAGGTTCAGTAATGATAGGGGTGTTAATTAAGCTCTTCTTGCTTAATTCAGGCTTACATTATTGATGAAGATATATAGGTACTGGATTAAAACCAGGATCTGCTGGCGCAGCACAGGCAATTGGATTTTCTACTTCACATTTGTTTGTTTCATGTAAGCCTACATCAGTGGTGTTATACCCAAAGTAAAACACCTTGAAGAAGTTCATTTGTTTCTGTAGCAGAAATTTCATTGAATATATTTAAATGTTTTTCCTTTGGAGTTTTAAGTAAACAGCAATCCTTAACTCTGTGTTATCTACAATCGTTCTTTTTACTTTTCTTTGATGAGAAAAGAGATTTACATTATTGTGGTGAAGGGGCTTTTTCTTACATACTTGATGGTTTGTTTGGATTATAATAAAAAGCTAGGTGATATATAAATAAATAGTGAATCTGTGCTTAATGGAAAATAGCAGGTGGTATGTTTCATCATAAGAAATACAGAAACAATGTCAAAAAACTTCTGAATATTTCTCCATTAATTAACTCAGAAACTTTGTAAAACATTCATTATTTAAATGAAATGTTTTTCTGATGTTATTTATGTAAAAATGCTCTGAAGCATTGGTCTTTTAATTCAAAGATAATATCTTAATGAAATTATTCCTTAGAATTTTTTTTTAAGGTCCAAATATTTGGAACAAATCCTTAAATATTTGACAATTTCATTTAAGTAAATATAATAAATAGAATCGCAGATGTCAAAAATGATTGAAATTACTAAAGAAATTAGTCCCTAATAAGAGGTGTACTTCAGAAGTATTTAATAGAGTACTCCTAGCCTATATATATATATGCACCATAGGACTTTATATAGACGAATTTACCCCCCTTTGAGAATAGATTTGATTCTCTAGAAATTACATAAGAGAAGATGAGATTCAAGTGGTCACTAATCCTTTACACATGTGTGTTGTCGTTGGGGGCTGTTAGGGAATGGAGGCTGTCCTTGAAAATGCCCTTACTCTGTACACCCCCTCCCCTTCCCTCTCCCTAAGCAGTTCCCTCCTCCCACACACCCCTTCCCTTGTTGTCCCCTCCCAACCAGATTGGAGACAGCTGACAATTGTCTGAAATCACAAATTGTTGAATCCTTCTTCCCTTCCCACATATCTGTTTCTGTATATATGTATGAAAAAATGTAGAAAAGATATCAGAATATTTCATATTTAATTGTTATATTTTATTACAAAAATTCAAAATTTAAAGACATTGAATTATGCTTTTAAAAATAAGAAGATATCTTAAAATACA